CACCTATCATTTGCACTTTAGAGTGGACAACTCAAAGGCAGACGCTGGCTCACCACCTCTGTCTAGGGCTCCTGGCTAGGCCAGTCAAAAGCTTTCTGGAAGGAGGTGAGGTCCTTCTTTCTCACTCTTATAGCAAGCGAAGTATGTGACCAGCCTGGCAACCAACAGCCGGTTACTAAAACAGATCCCAAGCTTCCTGTGAAAGAGGATCCAGTAATGCTAAGGAAGAAGGAAAACATAAAAAATAAACCCATAAAAGACTCCTGCAAACTCACACAAAACAACTCTCAGTTCAGGCCTGCATGGCAGGACTACAGTGGCAGTCGAAGCAGCCATGAGCACCTATGTGCCTACTTAGAGGAGGGTGGTCAATACCCGATACCCACCATGCCCACAAATGGCAGAGAGCAGCCCACAGTGGTTAGGTTAAAAAAAAAAAAAAAGCATTCTTCTGCAGTACTTTTAAATATAACATTTGAATCCTCTGAGTTTGAATTATGACAAGGGTCTGCTTTAAGAGGGAAGTTAGAAATTTGATAGCTCTATAACCTTTAGGTTCATTTTGAAAGACTACTGGTAAGTTTTTGTCCAACTATTTTCACATCTTTCAGAAATAAATTTTCTAGCACTATATGATGGCTTTGATTTGCCGTGAGGAAGAAAAGATAACACCCTATATTGCGCCCCATACGAGCTGTCTGCAGTTGGGCCTTCTGAATGGGAAATGTGCTGTGCCCCATTGGGAGCACAGTCACAGGCTCCCCTCAGAGGGCTGCCACACCCACACTCCCTTGTCTCTCTGCTCAGTCTCCTGGGAAAGGGTGCTTGAGATTTATTTCCTAGGACTTCTAGGGTCCTCTGGTGGGCTCCTCTCAGCCGTGGCTGCTGTTGTGTCCTGGGAGGCACTGAGCACAGGGAATCCGCTCATTCCTCTGGGCAGCTCCTACAAGAGTGCAGCTCCTGCTGGGCTCATCCCACACTGCCCCATGCTCTTCTCCTTTCCTCTTCATCCCTGCAGGTCTGCCTCATATTTGCCCTTTGAGCTCTAGCTCAAGGCCTCCTCTCCTAAGGAAGCTTTCCCTTTAGACTATTGCCCCTCTGCAGGAAGTCCAGTCTTTATCTGTGCTGCTGAAATGCCACAGGTGCTCTGCACAGCATTCCCATGGGGTCTCACAGCTGGTAAACATTCCCTAGAGCACCTTCCCAGGCCTGCCCTGTCCACAGGGGGTACACATGTCACAGAGCTCCCTGGGTACCCCAGGTGTGTGTCCTCCATGTGCTCATCCAGAAAGGAAGAGCATATGGAGGCTCTCCCTCTTAAAGGCAGAGCACAGCAGGAGGGTCATACCCTCAGCCCTGTCCTGAGAGATAATCCTTGGACTAGAATTAGGGTGTGGTCTTCTGTGTGTGGCCACACTTGGAGTGTGGTTCCAGTGATCTCAGAGAACAGGAAGGCTTCACAGGCAGATGAAAGCCTTCCCTCCCTAATCAGGTCACCTTCAGTACACATAGCTGGAAGACTGAGGGCAATGGTGAGACTTGTACACAGTGACAATTAGGACAAAATATCAGGCAAGACATAGCATGCTGCACGTAAACTGAGGTAGGGCAGGTGGCTTGGAAGGGGCTGTGGAGTCTGTGTGAGCCTTTGCTTGAATCTCACAATTCCAGGCAGGGACTGAGGGGTCAAGAAAGCTGGAGGCTGATCCTCCTCCAGGGGGCTCATGTGCCACGTGGATAGGCAGGCAGGCAAGCACTGTCCTCCCTGGCTCTTGTGAGGGGAGCTGAGAACACCACCACCAGCACAGGCATAGCAGTGACCTGCTAGAAGGGAGTCTCCCGCTTCAGCAGCGCCCAGGCACCATGAATTCCCTACTTCAAGCCCCAAAACTCTAGGCGTTTCAATACCTGGCTGATGTGAACAGTAAATTCCGTAAGGACAGGGCACCTACTCAACACCAGATCCTTGCACAGCACCTGCCACACATAGTGGGTTTGCAGCTGAATGACACGTCAGAAGGTAAAAGAGCTCAGATCCTTGGTTTTGAATCATCACAGACAGCACATGTTGAACACGATGCACAAAAACAAATTAGCCTTACCATTTCGGGATTTATACAGTAGGGGACAGGAGTGGGCATACAAAAATCTCTAAATAAAAACTGACAGCTGCTTCTTATAGGAGTACCCATTTTACAGTAAAAATTTAGCCAGACAAGCTTCTACTACAGTTTTTCGTTAATAGGATAAACACATAGTATCTGTTTGAATCCTCAAGTGATGGATCTCAGTGGATAGTGAAGGATCCGCAGCTCTACTGATCACAACAGTTCTAAAGTGGCTCATCAGCAGGGTCTGGCCACCTTGGTAGGAAAGTTGGGCCAAAGGCAGAGAAGTGCCAGCAAATTTTAGCCCATTTTCTTACACATGTGCGTGCACACACACACACATCTGAAACAAAAACAACCAACTGAAGGGACCATTTCAGCAGACATGTAACTCATTTCAGTCTGCTGTCCAGTAACTAGGTCAGCAGCTAAGATTTTCTTTCTTGTCTTTTCCTTTCAAAGAAAACATTCCCTAACCAAAATATGGAATTCATCTGCATTGTAATCCCAAGTGGGAGCAGACTCATTTCCTCTCAATCTGTGTATCACTCACTCCCACTCACTCTCCTTTCTCATAGACAATGAATGGAAACACTCCCTTATAGGAATTTCCAACCACCTCTTAGAGACAGATGTTTTGGAAAGCACTGACAAGTCACTTGTCATTGCAAGCCAGGTCACACACTCAGCCATTCATCCAGCTCAGACTCGATTCACAGAACTTAGACAACTTTCCCCCTTCACTCCTTAACCAACACACTCGCTGTTATGGGGAAGGCCTAAGGCCCTTGGTTTAACAATGTCCTCAGCATTTGCTGCCGGATCAAGAGTGCAACTTCCTGTGCATGTATTTCTCTGTAAAGATCTGGGATGGTCAACCCTTCAACAAAATGTCACTTTCAGGAAATGAGATAGGCACTTGAGAAAGAACATGGGCATTTTTCGGCCACCAGGGTACTGTTTATGAATTTGTGCAAGGCAAATGGGCCCCCTGTGCCTTGAAAGAGCTTATTGGACACTTCTCAAGCACCCACCCCAGCTCACATTTCCCCCAGAGAGCCTCACTTGTTCCCTGAGAGGAACTCATTGCAAGCTTTTGTCTTGTTGAAAGATTTGGGACAATGTGTAGAGGCGGATCATGTGGGCCACCTGGATATGCTATGAAATAGTTTCTCAAATAGCCACAGTTTTTCCCAAGCCACCTACAAAAATAAACACCAAATGCCTCAATTCACTCCTTAGGAGACCTACTTTGCCCCAAAGAGGCACTGACCAAGAGTTTCAGCAGAATCCAACACACTCACTTGAACCATCCAGTTACTGGCAAGAAGAAGGAATAAATACACGCACATTTGGAAGGGCGAGAAGTCAGAAGAGAAAGACTCACAAACACAGACCCATCCTTACTTATGGGGCTTCAACAAAGCCATGATGCAGAAGATAACTGAAGAAGCTCAGCTCTGAGAAAGATATCCAAGATTTAAAAACTTAAAACCCACACACAGACTACTCTCATCTACCTTGGCAATGTCACCTGTTCTAATGAGTTCTAATGTCTATTATACCTTGAGTCATTAAGCCAGGAACAAATATATACTTTCAGAGCTGCACAAGTCTGCTTGGCATTAGTATACATTATCAAAGTTACACTATTGGCTCTCTTTCTCTGTATTCTTTGTTGTAATGAAGATCATTTATATGCAATATTACCCTTCAGCTTTTCAAGTGAAAAGTAACAGGTCAGTCCTTCAGTGAACTGATCATAAAGCTCTAACTGTGTCAAGATACTTTTTCAAACTTTCCACCCTCAGGGACTCTACTTAGCAAAACCAATAGAGGGGAGGGAGAGAGAGAGAGAGAGAGAGAGAGAGACAGACAGACAGAGAGAGAGAAATACAAAGAGGGATTAACAGAGCAAGGTGATACAGCAGAGTATTTTAGGGCATAAACGTTAGTCAATGTGAACTTAGGCAAATCACTGTCTTCCTATGTGTAATGTGGGGATAAGAGAACCTCTGTTTCCTAAAATGGATGCTACACCCTAGGTACGGTGCCCAGCACATAGAAAGCTTTCCATAAATGGTAGCTTTTATCACACAACTCATACTAATCTCCACTTGAGCGCACGCTGGTGCTTACTTAAAAGAATACAGTTGGACAGAGTCACCTGCATTATGACCAGAATTGGCCTCCTGTTTCCCTTGTCACTTAAATGTCTCAGTCTGCGTGTCCTGTTTGTATTGACTAAGACTTTCCTGATGACAAGTAGTTACACACAGGAACATCTACTTCTTTAGTTCTTTGCTTTTTGCTGCTTTCAAACGTCTATGGATTGATCTATGTGGATCCTAGAAACATAATCATTAGTTGCTGGGCTTAAGAGGTTTCTCTCTCTGTTTGTTTTTACTAGAAGTCAGTCCTGTGAACCTGTGGTTTGCAAACTTTGTTTCCAAGCATTGAACACTATTTATCAAACAGAATCTGACAAGCAACTCAGTTCTATACATGAAACAGAGAAAAGTGGAGCCCTACTGACTTAAAAAGAGGAGTTAAGAAGCTTTCCCCTTCCAACTATTACCTACAAATAGCCCCCAAAATGCCCCTAGGAATACTGTGAGACATGTTTAGAAAAACAGTGATTTAAACCCCTCTTCCAATTTCAGTCTCTTGGCCCACACTGGAAAAGGCTCAGTGGCAAGCTCAAGCTCATCATCTCTTTGTTTCATCAGTAACAGCAAAATCAAAGACCCACAAACCATAGCCTCTTGCTTTGTAAACATCCTAGACTGTTGTTGTAAATGGCTGTAAACTGGCAAGATGTACAGACCCTTATTTTCTATCTTTTATTAACTATACACTGTTACGTCAACTCCTCCCCCCCACCCCGCCAATGCCATAGAACCAGTGTTTACACAGCTGTGCCAATGAGTATGACTGATTATGACGTCATTATTATCAGCTTCTGGAGGAGCCATCCCCCACTGACAGCTCTTTTTGTACCTACCAGGCAAGGAATGACATGTAAACCAAGGTTGGTCCAATCTAGCAAAGACACAAAAATTCCAAAGAGTTTTCAATAAAAATGTCAGCCTCACAATGGATAAATACTCCATTTGAAGTTTGTGAATTACCAGCAGTTTCCACACATATGAAATGTAACAGGGACAAAAGAACTAGAGAAAAATTCCAAGCAGGGGTTCAGAATAATGAAGCAGCTGGAGAAAGTCATTACTTCAGAAAGCAGACACTAGGAAGCAGGCCCCTCCTCCGCAGTTTAATTGCTGTTCAGCGGAAGCATGACATAGATTTAAGTGTGGGAATCCAAGGGGTAGAGGGGGTACTTGTTCAGGGTGGTCTGAGGGAGACCAGCCAGGAACGATGGGGCTAGAGCCAACCAACAAAAAATCCCAACCAATGGGAGGAAAGTGTTTCCTCCTCAGAAAAGACCACGCCATGTCCCTAGGGAAGGGCTGGAAGACTCCCAGCCTGAGTCATTCGGAAACAGATTTTACAAAGTGCTGCAGGGTATCCCAAGGGAATGGTGTGGCCCTGATGGAGGAAGAGGCTTCATGATCAACTGGGTCTTTTCCAGCTCCAGCTCCCATGATTCCTGGATCTTCTGCTTCTTCCAATTCACTATGGCCAGCAGTGAGGAGGCTGACTGCCATGATCCTCCAGTCTGAAATAAAGGCCTGAATGTAATTACAGCAAAGGCCTCCCAACTGCAGCTCAAAATCCATGTCAACAGCGGGAATTTTGTCTAAGGATCTGCTGCTCCAGCACAGGCACTCATCAGTCAGGTATCCAGCCATGTCCTCTCGTACTTCTATATCTCACCTGCTGAGAACAGGGCCCCTGCAACATCTGCTAATCAGGTGTGCTCCTGGGAGCCAGAAATAATTAAACCTGCTCCATGATGGGAACACTGAAAAGGTCTCACATCCCACAGCTGGTCAGTGAGCAGAGTAGATGGGCTGCACCTGAAGCTGTGTCTGCTTAAATCTACTGGTGAAGCTGTAAGAATGAGCCCTAAGTGACATTCGTTACCCCACAGGTAGTTGTCAGCCTTTGGGAAGACATCAGTGAGAGCATGTGGAAAGATCAGGCCTTCTCCATCACTCCCTCTAACCTTCTGAGACAGCACAAGTTCTACCCTGCAGGTCACTCATGCCAAGATGAGGTGATATCTTCTGGTGTTGCTCATCACACACCAACATGTTATGTTCTTGTTAACTATTCTCATCACTTTGCTTTCCAGAAAACTTCTGTCTAAGAATTTAAATAAGAAAAGCCTCCTGGAAAGTATCATTTTATATTTTAAAGAACACATTTTTCTGTCTGGCTTTAGACCTGTTGGGTGCTAGTCCTTTAGCTGGTACAGCCATTAACCTCTGTGGCATAACAAAGTGCTTCGGACAGCATTGATTTATTATTCCTTGTGATTCCCAGGATTAGCTGGGCAGCTCCTTGGGTGGTTTCACCTGGGGTTGCACATGCAAGCTCACCAGCTCTACTGTGCTGGGAGGCCCATGGGGGCTCCATTTGCATGTCTGGCAGTGACTGCTGCCTGTGGACAGGTTCCCCCAGCCTCCTACAGACTGGACTGACTTCCTTACATGGAGGTCTTGGGCCGTATTTCTAGAAGATGAAAATGGAAGCTGCCTGATCTCTTGAGGCTGAGGCTCTATAACTTACACCACACTTCTGTCACATTCTGTTGGTGAAAATAAGTCTCAAGGCCAGCCCAGACTCAAGGGATAGGTAAATAAGACCCCAGTTCTTGACAGGAAGAGCTAAAACGAATTTGTAACCATTTTTAATTGACCCCATAGAAGCTCCTCATCTGTGTCAGAGTGACATAAATTCTAGGACATAGTCACAGTCCCTGTGAGACCAAAAGGATCCTAAAGCCCTTGAAGGGGCCTGGCACTCTTTAGAACACTAAAGCAATAAAAATTAATCTTGTTTGACTATGTTTGATCAAAAAAAAGTTAAATTTATAGAAGCAGAGGAAGACCATTTTCCAGTAACACCTTTTTGGAAAGACTGGTTTAGCAAACTTTGTCTTGTTGTCTGATGAAATGTCCCATGTTTCTGAAATATTTTCTAACAGACAGAAGTAGCATACAGTGTGGCTAGTCCTGGGTTAGGGTTATCAAACTGAACATCAGTTACCTTTCAGGTAACTACATATGAAGGCACTTCCAATCAAAATCATCTTGACTGGGCTTGGAGAAAAGTTGTGTGCCCAAAGGTTTTTTGTTTGTTTATTTGTTTGTTTGTTTCCTCAGGTAAAATATTTTGAGCACTGACAGAAGTCTTGATTCCTACAGAATGAACCTTAAGAAATTCACTCTGATTATACTTCACAAGTCACTCTGACAATAGTAAAACCAATAGCAGAAGCCAATTTTTTTTTCCCATAAGAGGCCAATAAACCACTAAAAAAACCCCACTCTCCTTCTTAGTTCTTGTTGGCCACCAATGTACAGCCTTTTGTTTAATTTTTTGTTCAATTGAACAGAAAATGTTCCTCCATCCTCCAAACCAGATTCTCCATTGGCAGATTTCTATACCCATGATATGGGAAAAATGATAATACGGTGGTCATGAGACCATGATGGTGCCGATAGTGGGTGAAACTTCACATGGGAAGGGCCAAGTCAAATCACAGATATGGGCTGTTATGATGAGAGCAGTTACAAGACAAGAACAGTCTCCTCAAATTCAGGGGCTATGATCTCATGCATGGAGAAGTATGCCAGTATACAGTGAAGGCACATTGAATACTGGATGCTAAATGCAAGACTATAAATAGACTATACCCTCTTTACTTGGGATTCACTCTTGTATTGAAGAGAGTGATTGACAAGGAGTACAGAAAAGGAACTATTTTCTTCTGGCTGCTGGAACTGTTTATTAGAATTGATTATTCTTATATTCATTCACTGAAGGATAGAGATGCACCCAAAGATACCTAAAAGTCACTGACCAGTTTACTAAACTGGACTCAAGATAGTTCAGGTTTCTTTTCTGGTGTCAGAATTTCTGTTTTTTTGCAGTGCTAGGAATAAAACCCCCACACATTAGGCAAGCACTCTACCACTGAACTATCCTCCAGCCCTGGTGTCAAATATTTTTAAGTCTATCTTATGCCATGAAATCATCAGAGAAGCATATCCTGGCAGCCTGATTGTGATTACAAAAGACAGAACAAAAGTGAGTCTACAAAGAAATGGGGAATTCCATGGGAAAAGAAAACATTCCATAAACGATAAAAGAAGTAGAGATTCCTAAGGGAGAAGAAATTGAGTACACTGGCCAGCCTAAGGAAAAAGGGGACTGCTTTGAAGAGCTTTATAGCAAAGCCATTTGGAGAGCCTCTATGAAAATAGAGGAACACAAAATCTTATGTGCAGTTTGTTGTTTTTATTGTTGCTTTGTTTCATCTTTTTTGCAGTTCTGGAAATAGAACCTTGGGCCTCATGCATGACAGCAAGTGCTTCACCACTAAGCCTGATTTCCAGCCCTTATGTGCAGTCTTGAATTTAAGTAGTGAGAGCACAGTGAGTTCAGATTTAGTGAGATTGTAACTGACTTGCCTACCTCAGGGTTCCTAGAGAAGGATCTGGGAGTCATATTCAGCCCCTGCTCCTGGTCCTCATTAACTCTGAGCAGTGGCCCCAGAACCTGGACACCTTGTTGAGCTTTCTTCCCCTCTACCAAAGTAGTTGTTCCATCAGAAACAAAGGCAAAGACAACAATGAAAGGGATTTAGCTGCATAATATAATTAGGAGGGAAACCTGATGCCAACTTATTACTTTGTTCCCTTTCCCAGTGTACTAAAAGATTCTAAGAGCAGGTGTGCCCCTCAGGGGGGCTAAAGGCACCAACACTAATGCTGTGGGACAACTACTGCAGAGAGAAGAAGGAATTAGGAAAAAATAAGAACAATCAATTCTTATACTATTAAATATAGCTATATACTTCCAGACATACAGAACACTTGGTGCTTGCTGGATAAATAGAAAATACATGGAGGATTAATAATATAGTTCATGTATAATATGATTTTTAAAATTAAATTCTTTTATTGGTACATTGTAGGTATACAACACAATTACATTTCTCATTGGGAATTGTACCTTTACATAATGCATCTTGGTTCTTATTTT